ATAATAAAAAATCACTTATTTATTGCAAAAATTGTGCAGAGAAAACGTCAAAAAATGGAAATTTATTTTCATAAGCGTTTCATATTCAAAATTTTTGACTTTTTTCAATTTTTTTAGGTTCAATTACGAATTATGGGTATAAATAATAAGAATTTTTTCGCTGCCTGTTATAGGATCAATATCACGGACGCCATTTGTCCAGCAGCTGAGCAACTCGCACGCGTACCTGCCAAATGGGATGCTTCATATGTCCGCCATTTTTAAATATTTTTGGAAAAAAAAATACGTATGGACAGTCCAAAACATATATAAATAAATGTTTAAGTTTGAAAAATATAGAAAAATTCTTTCTCCTACAAAAAAATTCTTGAAAATAGCTTATTTTTCCTCGTTCTAATTGGATTTCCCCCCTTAATAGAAAAAGAAAATTATGGAACGGTCAATAATCGTGAAATTAAATGTTCTGTTCGCGTATCTATGCCGTTTAATAACAAGAATAATAGTGATACTTCATATTGTCATTATCGTAAGATTCAGTTTAACGGAATATCATTAGCTCTGCATGCACATGATAATTGTTGCATTTTACATAATGGATTAGTTTGTATAGTAGTCGACATTATCGTTCATAACACTTCATACCGTTTGGAAGTAAAAAGATTTTTACAGATAGAGGACTTTTATAATATTGGCATTTCATCTTCGGTTCTCGGAATATATAAATGTTCTACTTTATCCAACGATACTTTCTTAATTAACTTAGAAGAAGTGCAAGTGAAATGTTATAGAATGACATACAGCCATTTGTTATGTATGGACAGTAGCGATAGCGAAGATGATGAATCGGCAACAGAGCAGTACATTATCGCAGCAATAGCACATGTGGAATAGTCAGAAGATGAAGATTTATGTATTTTATTATATTTCTAAGATTATTTCTGTGAGTATCTTTAGTTTACCCTATTCTGTATATTTTATGTCTCGCGCTTTTATCCTTTCCTCTCTTGTATTTTACTTTCTTTTTTATTTAACTTATTAATATGAAGAAATTCCAAATATGCAAAAATATTTGTTCCATCACTTTTGACACTGAAAATTTATGGTGCACATAATACCAAATATAAATTGTCAAAACTATCAGTCAATATATTAACGCACTTAGAAAAAAATTTATACAGCTGTTTGTCTTTCATTGCTATTCTAAATTTTAGAAAAAATTGTTGTGTACCATTTTTGTTCTTAATAGCAAATGTTATCGCTATTATACACATAGAATAGAAGCTATTATACACGTAGAATATA